GTATTTAATTTTAATTTGATTTCATTTATCTTTGTTTTCATTTTATTTCTATTTTACATTTTACTTTCACTTGCTTTTATTTTAAAAAGAAAAATGAGAAATAAATCGAAATTAAAAAAAATCAATAACAAAAATAATTCCTATAAATTTGAATATTTTTAATGGCAGTTCTCGGCCACCTATATGCATATACTAGTATGAGCCACCGCCAAAAGTCAAAAGTGCAACTTGCGTTACTCATCAGCAACGTCACGCAAACTGAGTAATTTAATTCGTTTCGACTTCAGCCACCACGGAATATTTTCCTTAGTTGCTAGTAACCGGTATGCGGCTTATTATTCGTTTCTTGAGGAAATCTCTTCCATTGTTCCTTACCTGCATTGCTTTCCTGTTCACCGTACGAATTTGGCGAGTATGGAATGACATCAATTTAAACGTGGATTTACTAGTAACTCTTTCTCCGGATGAGCAATCGAAAACGCACCCAACAAAATCAATCATTCAATTGAATGCCTTGGCAACTCGTGCGGTAACCCGTGTGCCTGCTCTTCAACACCATATTCATCGCACAAGACTGCTGAGCACGGCAATTTGCCCCAATTCGCTGTTTCTCCTTATTTTGGTATCAACGAATGTTGGGAATTTTGACAGGCGCCATCTAATTCGCAAGACATGGGGCGCCGACTACTCGATCAAAACCAAGTGGAAAACCGTTTTCCTTTTGGGGAAAAACGACAAACACGATGAAATGAGCAAGGTGAAGACGGAATCCGAAATATACGGTGACATGGTGCAAGCAGATTATCATGAACATTTCTGGAACATGAGTTATAAAGTTGCCATGGGGTTTGAATGGTCTCTGAAATATTGCACTTTTGATTATCTTCTTAAGTCCGATGATGACGTGTTTGTGAACACTTTCGGTTTGATGGATTTTCTTAGCAAATATACGACACCAAAGAAAAAGTTTTACACCGGGAATCTCATGGCTGGAAGTATTGTTTTGCGAAATGGCAGATATGGTGTCGCACCTGAGGAATACAATGAAACCGTTTATAAGCCATACTGTAGCGGAGGAGGGTACATTTTGTCACGCGACGTGGTTGAAAAGTTTCTTTCGTATTTTGACGTTTTAAAACCCCTTAAGATCGATGATGCTTACATTGGTATATTGGCAAATAGAGCTGGCGTTAAAGTGACACATAATAAAGAATTTCGTATGTATGAAAACAAGTGTGAATACAAGGAAACCACTTTAGTTCAGCATCCAGCGAGAGGAGAATGCGCGTTAAAGCTTTACAATAAAATGATCGAAGGTATATTGAATAATTAATGTTGGATTTGAATTAAAATTAAATGTGGAGAATTAATTTTAAACAACAATAGACAGAAATTAAAAAAAATCAACTTTTAAACAAATCAACTTTTGTTTTGAAATAAATTTTTGCAATTAAATTATACAAGTTTATCATCAGAGCTTACTTTAAGACAACTAATTACATTTTTTACAATTAGCAACCTTAAGAGGTATGGAATACAAAACTTAAAAGCAGCCAAAATGATTGTACCATGCAGAGCCTATGATTTTGTAGACAATCAACACATTTCAACTAACAGAGCTTTATCAATTATTGTAGAATCCTATTTGTTTTACATATTTACAAAATTCAGCTGTATGCATATTTATGGCTCAACTTTTTTCCAAGCATTTAATTAGTGGAGACAATGAAAACACAGGTGGGTGAAGAATGGCAGCGATCTGGGGACAAGTGAAAATTATTGCCTACCAAGATTTCCACCATTTTTGCTTTCTCACTTTTCTAATTTCTTCACTCGCTAGGTGCCTGGCACTGGCTATGTAAGACTTAGAAAAGTGTGAATGATCTAGAACTTGTCTGGTATTTTTGAAATTGAAAGTACCCATTAGATATGATAAATAGTGCAAGAGCAAAATTACTTTGTATATGGTTCATTTATCCCAATCCCAAATTCAATCAGCTGCAATAGTGTACATTTCAGAAATATTTTAGGTGTTTATAGCTTTCTGAATGAGAAAATAAGTTTCTCTGAGCAACCCATTTAAACAAAGTAGATGTTGTCATTTAATATACCATACACTGTATGGGGATTTTATCATTTTTAGTTACTCTATATTTTTTCATAGATGTTTATTCTCATTATTGTCCTTTTGTAAGTGAAAAATATCACAGAGATAGCAGAACATCAGTTTTCTTCTATATCACAAACAATCATTGCTAAGACAGATCCAGGACTTAGTTAGCAGTAACTGTTTTCTCTATGTAAATTGTAGTGCATGCAACTTTATGGAAAATATGACTAAAAGGCTTCTATTGAGAACAAGCAATTTTCTTGATGTTTCAAAAAGAGCTTTTGGGGGATGCTTTTGCTACAGACTCCTTGTCACTTGATTTTAGAACTTTCCAATGAGACTTAAACTGTGATGTATTAATATAATGAAGTAAATAAAGTTGTAATTTAACAATAACCTTGTAAACGGGAATATTAGAGTTACTGAGTGAATGTGTTCCTAAGAAGGACTGACTGTTGTTGGCGGTAGTGACTAACATTGCAGCAACCTGAGCTGAAGTCATCATTTCCTCTTCACACCCTATCATCAGTGTGCACATTCTCCCTTCTGCTTTCTACACATTTTGTAAGGTGCTGACAAGGAGAATTTGTTTAAAAATCAAGAGCTTCTTTCGTTGGTGATCATTTTCTTGATTCTCGTGACCTTAATGTGTGATTCAGGGAAGGTTTTGAAAGGAGAGATAATATGTCACTCACTCTCAGGGATTAAAGGGCTACCTTTTCTGATAATTTTGTATATCAACTGAGTCGATATTATAAAGTGGCCACTGAAAAGAGTTTTTAAAACTGATGTCGCAAACTCTAGCCCTTTGTTAGAGTGAAAAGAGGAATTATGGGTTGTGTAGCTCTGTTCCTCTATTTGCTCTGACAGAGGTCTACCACCTGAAACTCCAGCTTTACAAACTCTTTTCAGTGGCCAATTTACATCATGAGCTCAGTCGATATAAGCCATATTATCTTGTTATACCCCCCTACTGATGCAGCGCCATAGTCTCTTTAAAAACTTACCCCCTTTTTTAATTGTAGAACTTGTTTCAGTCTGTGGTTGCAAGGAAGAGTGACTGGGGAAAATTATCCTCTTAATTTCCATGGGAATACTGATAGGGATATACTGGGAACAACAAATATACAAGTCAGTCTGTTGTAGCGTTATTTAAAAGACAAACACATGTTGACATCAAAAAGCGCAAAGGGTTTACAGTTGAACCTGAATTGAGTGGCACTGTATTAAGTGCTCATCCTGTATTAAGCGTGGGTGACTGCCTAATATACAGGCTCGACTGTATATCAAAACCGAGACAACCAAATCCAAAATCTCCAGCCTCTGTTCGAATGATATGGCATCTAAACCTTAGCTTGCACATTCAGGATTTACTGTTAAAATGGGGCCTGATTTCTAACCTCATATTTTGAAATTGAAAGAGTTTTGGAAATTATCACATCAGTTGATTTGTGGCTTTTGTCTGACTGTCTTGACCGGCAGGCGCGGATACTAATCTATGGCCAGGCTACAAGGTGTACAACGTGGCAACAAGTTTGCCGGTTCGCTTATCATCGATATAACAATTTTATCTCTTCAGAGATGGAAATGACAAGATGTAGGAATTATTTTTGTCACCATGCCAGAAAAAGTGGAAATAATAGAATGGCATCAGTTGGAAAAAAAAAAGTATTTCCTATTTATGAACGTGTACATGTTAAGTACAAATGCTGTGCTATTTCCGGTCGAACTGGTCAAGACTCGACTTCAACTCCAGCGGACAAAAGCTGTTTACAAAAACACACTGGATGTCGTTTACAAGACTGTGAAACACGAGGGATTTCTAGGACTTTACAAAGGATTCCCGGTAAGTCAGTTCGGCGTTCTCACCGGACATATCTACGCTTCAAGTTACGAAATTTCTAGAGAACAGTTCTCCGCGTTGCAAAATGCAGCCCGCGGATTTTTAGCTGGAGGTCTCGCTGCTGCGTTAGAGCAAACTGTCATAAATCCAGTAGATGTTATAAGTCAGCGAATGATGGTTGAAGGGCAAGGGCAAAGAAACAAGCAGCGCGGTACTCTGAGGTCTGTCAATATTGTAAAGCGAGTATTGAGAGACCATGGAGTTTTCGGCTTTTATCGTGGATTCGCAGCGTCTTTGATGGTGGAGGGGCTCTGGAGTGCCACTTGGTGGGCCTCTTATTGCCTGTACTTAGACGTGATTGGGAAAATGGTTCCTGGTGGAACTTCACATCTCGTTATTAAGGGACTGTCTGGTATGTTGGCTGGAATTAGCTCTGCTGTGGTGGGAAATCCCATTGACGTCATTAAAGTCAGACTACAGGTGAGTTGCGGACTCGAGTCTTTTAAGGTTGACAAATGCTAGTCTTATCAATCTTTCTGTCTCATGTCACAGCCAATGGGTTTTTAAATAAGGTACCTTCATTCAGTGAAACCCAATCAACTAACATGACATTTTTTAAAGTTAGGTTAGACATCCCTAATTGGTCTGGGGAAAGACCTTGCATTTATGGTTTAGACCTTACAAAAATAGGTGCTGTGGGAGAACTGACTAACATAACTTAAAGGGATGGGTGGCATTATAGCACCCTCATTTTGCACTATCGTACTCTTAAGTAATTTAAATCCCAAAGAGACAGAAAAAAAGCTAAAACAGTATCTGTGGACAGACTGATTTCAAAATATTTTCCACAATGCCCACTGATGTGTATCACTGACTGAATAATCTTAATTTATAGTTTATCTAGTATGGGAACATCAGGTTTGAAAACTTGATAGACAGCACTGAAACATCCTGCATATGAAAGGAGAAGGTATCTGAGTATTCAACCTCTTGTTCTGTCTGATAAATGTGCTTGTAACTTCTTTCAGGTGGAAGGAAGAAAGTCTTTTTCGAGAACTCTGCATGATCTGCTCAAGAATGAAGGAGCTCTGGCTTTAACGAAGGGAATGTTTGCTAGTGCCATTTCTGAGATGCCCTGTAGTGCTATTACAATAATTGGATATGAAATGGTCAAGAAACTAAGCTTGAAGGAGGATTCTGTCATTTAATGATAGTAAATAATCTTGTAATTATTATCACAGTTAGGCATTGTGACACAAAATGGAGAGGTTGGCAGACATAAAAACAGTCATGCATGCTCACATTAGGTTTTTTGCATTAGGACTGGTTTTTGTCTTTTTTTTATAGTTCTATTTTCCCAATGCCTTCAATGTGATAAAAATAGTTACAGTTACTGGTAATATGTTCTTGGGCATGAATAAGTGTTAGCCCTTTTCAGAGCTCATTTTAACCCTCACCTAACAATACATTTGTGGAATGTATTATGTACACCTAGCGAAGTAGAAAAGCATCTGAAAAACCTAAACATACACAAGTCCCCAGGTCCTGATAAATTATTGCCTCGTATCCTGAAAGAATGTGCATTGGAATTATCTATGTCACTTTGTAACTTATTTAACAAGTCATTCCAATCTGGCTCACTTAACCCAACGACTGGAAAATTACACATGTTATTCCAGTCTATAAAAAGGGACCAAAATATATAAAGGAAAACTATCGCCAAGTCTCACTAACATCTATCATCAGTAAAACAGTGGAGAAGATTGTTAAATCAAGAGTTGTCTCATTTTGGACTGAACATCAACTACTAAACCCAAGCCAATTTGGATACTTGGAAGGCTGATTGACAGTGTCACAACTTTTAAGCTGTTTTAATGACTGGTGCTTAACAAGAAATTTGTCTAAAGTGTCTGATGTAATATTTCTGGACCTATCAAAAGCGTTCGACAGTGTCCCTCATGAGCGCCTACTTTTAAAACTCAATAGGTATGGGATAGACGGGCAACTGCACCTGTGGTTCAGGAACTTCTTAACCAATCGAAAACAAAGAGTTATGGTACGTGGATTGTACTCGGATTGGTCACCTGTCACATCTGGTGTCCCTCAGGGCTCAATACTGGGACCGGTTATGTTCCTTATTTAAGTGAAAGAAATACCTGGCATCATCACGTCTACTGCCAAATGATTTGCCGATGATACCAAAATCTACCAACAGATAAATAATGTTGAAGATTCTATTGCTTTACAGATAGATTTGACCACCCTCGACCTATGGGCAAATCGTTGACAGATGAAATTTAATTCTACCAAATGTGAAGTCATGAGAATTACACATAACAAAGACAAAAAGTCCACACGGTACAATATATCGAGTACAGTGTTGAGGAATGTATCTAATTACAAAGATCTTGGAGTTATTATGACTAGTGATCTGAAATGGTCAAAACATGTTGAACAAATAGTTCACAAAGCAAATAAGGTTCTTGGCTTACTTAAACGCACAGTATGCGGTAAAAATAAAGATATTTTTTCAAATTTGTACAAAACCTTGGTTCGTCCAATCTTGGAATACGCTTGCCCGGTGTGGTCACCACACCTCATCAAAGACATCAATGAAATTGAGAAGATACAAAGAAGAGCTTCGCGAATTTCTTTAGGCCAAAGAAGACAAGAGATGGCGTATAAGGAGAGGTGTAAAATTCTTAAATGGAACTCTTTTGTACAAAGGAGAGATTTCCTTTCCTTAGTGGAATGCTATAAAACTGTATTCAATCTAAATGGATTAAATTTCAGTGACTATTTTGAACTTTGTAAAAACACTAAGTCAAGATCTAACCATCCATATAAGCTACAACTCAAACTCGCAAACTGAACTGCTACAAAAAAATTCTTTCTTTGTCAGAATTATCAAACCCTGGAATAATCTTCCTATTAATGTATTTAATTTTTGTGACAGCCCTAACATTAGTGAGTTTAAATCAAAATTGAAGAAACAATATGAATATTTATCGAATCACCATTTTATATTTATTTATGATATTTAGCTGCTTCTTATTTGACTTTTTTTATTTTTATTAACTAGTTCTGTAAGATTTTATACATAAATAGGAGACCCTTGATATAGGGTTAACCTCTGGGTTTCCTTTTTCTTAATAAATATGTATTTGTATGTTGTTCTGAAATAAAGTATTGTACTAACTGTTTTGTACTAACAACTCTGGCTAAAGTGACTCTGAGATGGGCCCAAAACATATTTACGCTTGTGAACATTAACTATGTCATTCGTTTAATAGTGGGCTTTCGTACTTGTAATAGATAAAATGTAGACCACAAATTTGAACAAGGGGCTCAACCATTTACTGGATTGAACCCAGGAGTAACAGAGTTAATTATATAAACTGATTGTGTGGGTGAGTGAGGTAAGGCCACTGTTGTCAATTACAGTGACTAATGTTTTCACAATAGGGGCGGATATCATGATCAAATTCAACGAATTGTCAAAACATTATTGACTTCATTACTGCTGACAAAAGTCTCTTTTAGGACTAATTTCACCCAATTGATCAGACTGCATGAGGCTGGGGTAGACAAGACTCTGAATACCTGTTTTACCCATTTCTTTGATTTACTCCTTGATGCCAGGTTGAGGATGCTGCTTTTCATGCATCAGATACAGGAGGGTCAATTTTTGCTATCTACCTAACTCAGTTAGCTTATTGTTACCAGAAAAATGAGGATAATGTAGCATAGTGATTTCACTGATTTGTACCAGGATTACAAATTAACATTCTTTTGTTCCTGATATGGACCATGTTCCTCACATAATATTTATTTTGTAAGTATTAGTATGTTATTTGGAATAAATGATAATTTTTAATGTATTTTACATGGCTGCATATTTTAATTGATCTGAAATTCCTTCCATAGAAAAATCAAGGTTACACTTGATTCATTTACTGTTTATGGTAGGTATTAGGAGGGGGCATTGGGGTCTATAAGAACTGCAAAAATGGAGTAAAAAATCATCCAAAACTGCAAAATCACCCAAAAAATTCAATCTCAACTGAAAACCACATGCAAACCCCTTTAAACTAAGACATTTCTACATCCCAGTACTTAATCAAACCCTAATTGATCCAATCCAATATGGTAGTGACAAATGGGGTATGCCAAAGGTTTTGTGGCTATTCAAAATCAGCTTGGAAGTGCATGATTGCTGCTCAGATCAAAGAGAAACTGCAACCCAAAGAGGAAAAAGCTGAAAAATACATTGGATACTAAATCTGAAAATCCATTAGCATTTTTGATGAAAACCGAAAACTAAATGTTAAAAAAAGGAAATATCTGCAAACTGCTATGAGCACCATAACAGAAAAACCAAAGCTTTTTTGGCACAAAAACTGAACTAAAAAATGGCCAAAACTGCAAAACCAAAAATTCCAATGTACCCTTCTTATTAGGTCATTTCCTGGTATTTTCTGTGGGTGTGTTGCCACTAACCTTATTGTCTAAATGACAAGATCGTGGAAAGAGAAATCATTACACTAACAAGCTTAAACCACCTCTCCCCAAATGGGGCTGTTCACTGGTTCAATGTCAAGAAAGAAAGAAATATTTTGGAAAAATAGTCTGGTAACAAATTTGAGCTTATGGAAGGCAGACCAGAACGATATTTATAAAGGGAAACCAAGGAGTTGAGGTGTAGATAACCAAGAGCAACTGTATATTAAGGGGGTGTAGCTAGGGGAAGATCTGTATCCCTCTTGCTGAAATATTCTTTTCAGTTTTAACGACATGCAACATGGTTAAGACGGTGAAATAGCTTGAATGTTAGATTCTCCATGGCAAGAATCACCCACTGATCATCCAAAAAAAATGTCACGGTAAAACACAGCGTGGATGTCTTTATAACAGTAAGGTAGCTGCTCTGTGTATAATACAGTGTGACCTCTCTCCCTCTCTCCTAATCATTCCCTTGCACTATCAAAGGGACTCATTGCAAAACAAAACCGCTGAAATCCAGGATTTCTTTCAAAACTCAATGGAAAAGTGCACTAGCTTACTTGATGAAAAATTTATCCAAACTAATATCCTAAAACATAATACAGTTTGAAGCAATCATAGGAACTGTGACCAAATGCCCACTTGGAAAAAAGAGATAAAAACAAAGCAAAACAAAAAGAGAAAAAAAAGGTTAAAATGATAAGAAGGTTAGTGCATATGGGCAAGGAGCTGCCCGGATTTTTGTTTTCTCTAGTTTTCTCACATCAAAAGTTTGCGTGACCTGCCAGAAAAGCGTGGACTTACCGTGGACTTGTCACGCAATGCACTCTACACATATTTATAAGTGTGGTGGAAAACGATTAGATCAAAGGAGTCAAATTTTTACGTTAATGGACTTTTCCATTATTAGACGTAACACTGCTGATGATGTAATAATTGGAAGAAGTCACACTCGCTGTGCTTCACATTTCAGCGCGTTCCCGCGCAGATGTCTGTACGAGAGATTTGCTTCGGCAATCTTTCGTTCTTCTCTAAATGCCAGAGGAAGTCAAACAAATAGAGTGGCAGCATATTGACAAGTTTAAATACTACACTTACGGAAGTGTTTTCTTCGTTGGTGTAAATACTCTTTTATACCCAGCAGACGTGATAAAAACTCGACTGCAAGTGCAGCGGACAAATGCTCTCTACAGAGGAACACTTGATGCTGTTTTTAAAACCTTTAGATCGGAAGGACTTAAGGGGTTTTACAAAGGATTCCTGGTGAACCAAATGAGTATTTTAACTGGGCATTTCTACGTGACAAGCTACGAAGTTTCACGATCGCAAATGTCTTTCTTTGGTGATGGCACTCGAGGATTTGTAGCCGGCGGGGTCGCGGCGCTGATGGAGCAGTTTTTAGCCAATCCAATCGAAGTGATTTCTCAAAAGCTTATGATTCAAGGACAAGGAGAAAGCAATACAAAACTTAAGGGAGCTCTGCACATCTCTGCAGACGTGTTCAGAGACCACGGTATGAGTGGGTTCTACCGCGGATTTGTCCTCTCGTTCCTGACCGGGGCATTGTGGAGCGCTGTCTGGTGGGGCTCTTATGGTGTATACATAGACGTAATTGGGGATCACGCCCCACATGGTACATCTCATCTTCTAATTCAAAGCGTTGCTGGTGGACTTTCAGGGTTGAATGCAGCCGTCATTGGGAATCCTTTTGATATTGTAAAAACAAGACTGCAGGTAATCACAGGAATATCCAACACGAAATAAAAAACATACAAATGACACTAGAGTCGATGTAACAAGTTGAAGTGCAGCACAACTAAAACCAACAAGGTCATTTTAGAGTCCAGGCAGACATGATCCTAAGCGACTCTTAACGCTGCATTTTTCTTAAGAATTTAAGTAATGCTCAAATCAGTAGTGATTTTAACTGTTTTAGGGCCAGTACAAACAATGGGGGAAATAACTAACGGTTTATAATAGGATTACACCAACAAGGGCTTGCCCCTCTCCAGAATTGTACTATCCTGAAATTGATACCTCTTCTTGGGCATTTAAACATCTCAATTTCTTTGAACACTAAGCAAACTGTGACCCTACAAAGGGATCCAGATCACCAATGTGGTGGAGCCATAATTTGGCCAATATTTAAGCCTAGTAGCTAATATTTTTATTTTCAGCAAAGACATTGTTTTTTGTTCATTTCCAAGGTTGAAGGTGGAAAATCAATGACCAGATCTTTTCAAGAACTACTCAAGAAAGAAGGACCAAAGTCATTGACAAAAGGAATGCTTGCTAGTATATTGTCTTGGGTTCCCTCAAGTGTTATCATGATAGCTGCATATGAAACTGTCAAGAAATTCAGCCTAAAAGAGCAATCAATTGACTTGTTTAGGTAATGAGTATATGACACAGAATGTCCAACAACTACTTGCATCATTAAAGCAAGGGTAGACACAGGGTGTGAGGAGAATCCTGGGGTTTAATTTCGTGCTTGTCTTCTAGGGTGTAGGATCCCCTTGAGTACTCCTGCTATGTTTTATTCTAACAATTTTACCCTCAGTTTTTTCATACAGATCAACCTTTGCTGCACCCTCCACATGGAAGTGTCACACTGTAACAATAACAAAGAAGATATATTTCAACTTTGCATCTACTACTTGAGAGATGTATAGTGCCCTTGATTTGCACCACAGTCCTTGCCTTGCAAATTTATTGTTAAAGAAAGGGTGGTAGGGAAGGGAGGGTAGGGAAGGGAGGGTAGGGGTTGCATCAGTTGATTTATCAGGGATGTGTCTGATGATAAATGCATCTTTGACTGATGTAGTCTGTGGAACTTGCTGCTTTGTCAGGGACAATGCTGCAACCACTTCATAGAGTGCAGAAGCAAAATTCTGTTACCATTTGAGTAGCTGTGAAAGAATCACATTTGTATTTATTTATGAGATCTTTGGATATCAGTACAATTTTACGTACATCAACCACTGAACTCTACATACCGGTAACAGCTTGAAATGCAAAAATACCATGATTGTATCATGTTATTTTATTTAAAATTAACTGGATCACAATAAATAATATAGCTGGCATCAAATCATATTAATAAAACAGTAATTCCCCTTGTGTATGTATTATATGAGATTATCTACCAGTATGCAAAATCAAGACTACAACCTCATTGGGTATCTGTCATCTTAGAGTAAATTTTGTGGCAATCTAACAAAAATGCTTCCATCTGATTGGCTACTCGACTTACTATCTATTCCTAAATATTTGTCTCACTGTCAAATAAAAACACGAGTCTGTTTTTTTAGGTTTCAGTCACCAGTAAATTTGTACGGAAACAATTTCTATTACCAGTAGATTATTTCGGCTAGATTTCTTTATGTAAGAGCTGATTCCAAGTTTCCCTCATCAACTTTTAACCAATAGAAAATTTAAGCTCATAGCTCAAACACTGAGTTTACGTTTTCGAACAACAGTTTGGCATACCTGGCTTCACAACTTCTAACAAATGTATGTATTGAGAAAAACAAAAATTTTAGGGAGCACGTAACACAACTCTTGCAGTTAATTATCACTTTCAAATAAAGCTTGCACTGTGCACTGTTAAATGAACTTCAGGTTCATTTTCTCATAGAAAAAGGTCAAATTCACATTTTTATAGTGAAATATTTATGAACAAGATATATTTTGTGCCTTAAAATTTGTTACAAGTTGGATTGACTGGTTTTTAAAGAATCAGAATCCAGCTTCGCTGTTGTTGTATTTGTATGATTGGCATCACTCATGTAAATATGGACTGACTTAAGGTTATAAATCGATAGTGAAGAGATCATTTCATATCAACTTAGAGCCTGCAAAGACTGACTACATGTCTTGAACAAATAAATCATTTTCTACTGTGCCACCTCCATTCCCTTCAATGTCATGGCTACCCTCTGTCTCCTCCTCCTCCTCCTCCTCATCATCATCATCATCATCATCATCATCATCATCATCTCCATCATCATCATCATCATCATCATCCTTGCCAGCTTCAACTAAATCCTCAAAATGGTGTGTCTTCTTGGTGTCCTCTCCTCCAGTGTCATTGCATAAAAACTGGTTATATTCTCCTTCCCCAGCACTACACATCTTAGCATCAGCTTTTGTCAATGAGACAAGAATGGTAGAAGCAAATCAATGTTTAGATGCCAAATGAGAGTCACCTTTAAAAGTTTATTTTAATTGGGGTTGGAGGTTCTAAAAATTGATTATAAGGATTTCCAAGGCTTATAGAATGTAACAGTTTCGGGAGTTGATTGCTTCACTACAGCAGCTTGACACATTTAAGTCTCTTATAAATTTCTCAGTCTGATGAAGAACCTTTACAATAGCATACACTGTACCTGTTGACTCCTTCTGGGACTGCTCAAGTTTTTCCCTAGTTTCTTGCCATTTCTCAGAATAGGCTTCCTTTGCTTTCTGTGTCAGCTCAATGAGTTTCTTGAAATGTTCCTGTGTCAACAATTTAAGTATCTTCAGAGCCTGACATACTATTGGGAGGTTGGATGGAAGCAACAAGCCAGAGGAAAAATATCTCAAATACAAACACTGTTTCCCATGGCTGAACAAAGTTCTGGCATAATTAAAAAAAAAAACCCTTTAACTCATTTGGCTGCTAAAGGGGCCTCTGGTGTTTGGAGCACTTTTCCTTACTGGACTCTAATAGGGTCACAGGTGGTGAAAGAATTAATAAATACAGACCATACTTGTTAGGGACAACCAACACTAAAGCTTTGCCCCAGGTGATCGCAGTTTATGTATTTAAAGCAATTTCCTGTTTGTGGTTACACAAACACCAACATCCAGTTTACCATTCATTTCACAGATAAATCATGGAGAGGTGTCTTGAAGAATAGAGCTAAAGAAAAACTGGTATTTTTATAAGTGCATGAGGGCATTTAGCTTGTTTTGTGTGCATCCATGCTGTATATCATAGATTCAAATGTACGTGTGTGTCCGTTTAAAAGTAGTGTCATCATTGCAATCCTTTTAAAAGAAAAAGCTCTCCAACACTGACACTTCTTTCAGTCCCTATGTTGTCTCTTCATTTTGCTAAGTTATTCCTTTCTAGACTGCTCTCTACCAGCTAAATGTTCAACAGTTTGTTCCGTGTTGCCATCTGCCTGCAAAGTGATGGTAATGCAGTAGCTTGCATAATCAGGCTATGTAAAACTTTACTCAATTTTACTTCCCCTACCTGTGCTCCATCGTAGTTAAATATCCCACAAATGCTGACAGGAACCTTCTTCAACAGTACTTTGCCTAGCAACTGACGTTTCAGAGCAAACACCACTGGAATCTGATTTTCTTGGCAGTACATTATTATACTGCTCAAGGTTTCATCTAGACCTCCTGTAGAATATCACTACAATTACTTCTAAATTATTTCTAAATAATTCGAAAATGTTTCATTTTAGAGTTTTCTAATTCAGGAATTTTACAAGGAACATCATAAAGGACCATAATCTTGACCCAGGTTTTCAGGTATGACACATTAATTTCCTTTAGAGTAATAAAATAATTGCAAGTTTACACTTCCATTTTAAGAAACCTGACAACTATTAACCAATTCAAAAAAAATGTAACAAAAGTGTTAACACGATAAAACACTGCAAGTTTAACCTTGGAGAATGATGACTGACTTTACTTTTCCACCTGCAATGACTTGATGATTAAAAATGTTCTGAATAACAACTTACCAGCAGATTTTATTCGTTCCACATTTGAGGAGATAATAACACATTTCACCCTCCTTAACTTGAGGTGTTTGCTGACCTCTCTAAGGCCTAGCACAAATCTTCTCTTTGCTTTGGCCTATAAAAGAAAGCCAACATCAGCAATTAACCTTTTACACTCCAACATCGAATAAGTAAAGATTTGTAACAACATTTTTACAATAAAAATCTGCGATAAAATATTGGAAAACATTACACAATGTTTAGAGGTTTCCAGAACGTCATTATCAAGTGAGAATGAAATAACAAAACTAAGATATATATAGATGAGAAAATGAATAAATTAAGAGTCATTGAGAGTCAAACAAAGAGCTTAGCCTTGATGGAGTCACTCTGGGTGTTTAAATTCAGTCTTACTGTTCTTATGTACAACATTTCGTTGACCAGGCAATCCCATTTCGTGCTGCATTTTTTAAGCACCCGAAATTGGCTCTCACTGAGTAAGTTAACATTCCCATGAGCATCTTTCAGATGACGACCAATGGCAGAATATCGATGATCAGCAATGCGTTGAAATAGATGGCATGTCTTATATCCGACATAATTTGAATTGCACAAATCACTTTGATAACAATAAACAACACTGTGTTGATTGACAATACGTGGCTTGATTTCTTAAGCTTAAGATCATGCTCAAGTTTCTTGCTGGTGAATACTGGTCGTACATCAATGCCAATTTCAGAACTGAGATCCTGCATCTGCTTTTTAACTGAGTTCGCTGAGGTTTGATCTTTAAACGGGATGCTGGCTCTTAAAGTTTCATCAGTAACAGGTTTCGTCTTAGCCTCTTGTGTTGGGGGGGGGGGTAATCACATTTATCAATGATGCCATTCACTAACAAACTTGGGTATCCAAGGTGAGTAAACATAGATTGTAGATGTTTACAGAAATTGTAGATGCCCCTTTATAATCTTTTTTCTATTCTACATCAAAATATAGTGACTCTTAAACATGTTTTTGCATCATTTGTGGTATTTTGCCCTTTTCTGAATTTTTTATCAAGCTCTTTAATCTGCAGATAAAATGTCTGGCCAAGCAAAGAGGGACTGGGCACCATGGTGTCACAATAGGAATCTTGTGGAGAGAAATATTCTTCATTGAGTCAGGGGTATTTGAAAAACCCCAAACTACACATCGAAATGGCATTTTTTGGCTAAAAAGATTGAAAACAGTAGCTTCAAAAATCACTTTGCTTCTTTGATAAACTTGGTGTTACTACCATTACGTCATGGGTTCCAGTACTCTTTAATGCAGCCAAAGAGATACGGGGAGTCTAAGTTCGATACCACTTTGGACTTTTATCGCCTCGTAAAATAACAAAGATGCATCAGAATCACCCACAAATCTTACCAGAAACCCTCTACATACTTCTATTTTTATAATTTAATGCCAAAAAGGTAGGTTTCAAAGGCACTTTTAAAGAGATAACCCTTTACTCCCTCTATACATTTCCTAAGATGCCGACAAGGAGAATTTGCTCATCAACTAAGAGTTTCTGTTGTTGGTGATCATTTTCTTTATTCTTGTGACCACAAAGTGTGATTCAGGGGTGAAATTGTAAGGAGAAATTATGCACTGGTCAATGTGAGTGTTCAAAGGCTTAAATAGCCCAGTTCCGAATTATCCTTGGCCTCATTTTAAGAACGAGTCCAGGTGCTCATCCTTTCATATGATTATAAGTTTTCATTCACATGCAAATTAAACTCATTATTACAAGAATGGTTGAGCACCAGGCCTCATTTTGAAAAAGAGGCCAAGGGTAATTCAGAAATGGGCTATTATCAGAGTGGAAAAAAATTCACCTTCACTGGATCCTTGTGGAACTGCCTGTCTTGAAAACGTACAAGTTCTCTCAACAGTTCAGTTGTCACAGAGTCCACCTCCTTATCTGGAACTTGAAAGCAATACCTGAAAAAAGTTAAAAGCAATATTCATTGCATAAATTTCATTGCACAAATTGTTTTCCAGGACCATTACATGAAATCAGAAAATGCAATGAAAGGAAAGTGAATTTATAAATTTCCAAAAGTGAGACAGTGTAAGATCTATTAGAGGAAGTAAATTATCTGTTTAAGTACATAAGTTATCTCACAATAATTAACAGAAACAATAATGCCAGAATTGTTTCATGCTTGTATAACTGTCAAGGTGCACCAAAGGTGTAATTCAATGCTTGGCAATTATTTTTCTTGGGAAGTACAACTGAAAAATAGCATTACTGCGCTCTTCCTTACTTAAAGGTAAGGATGGTAAAGGGAGTCAACCATGAAAAAATGTTTAGCAAATCAAATAACTACTTTTCCTTGTTACCAGAAATCCAAAAATGTGTCTCACACATTCAGGTTTTAGTAGTTGGAAAATTTTAAACAAAATCAATTATAATCATTTAAGAAATTCAAAAATAAGACATTTTTTTAAAGAACTTCCAGGCTCCTTTTCTTAAGCTGGCAAGTATTATGCATTTAAAAGGCAAATACATTTTGTGTAAGAATTTAAAAAAATGTAACGAGCACAATCTCACTCTCGAAAACGGCGACTGTGAATTTCAGCAGCTATTTCTTGATCTGTAGGAGAAGATACTTCTGCCCCGGATGTGTCCTCTAAAAAGAAAGACAGGTACTCAGTTATGTTTAATCAGTCACTCTGAATGTACTTATATGATAAGCTATGCGTACATTACTGTGCATGCATAAATAGGATCATGATTGTAATTGTTATTGCCAGGAAGAAGAGATGAAGTGACTTATTGCCTTATATGCTTTATCATAGGTAAAGTGGGGATGGAGGGTTTAAGCTGCTTGGGATCTTCCTTTATGCAGGAAGAAACTGAAAAGTTAACAGGTACACAGCTCTTTTCTCATTTTAAAATCAATTTGCCAGTTGTCACTTGTCTGAAACAGGTTTCCTTTTTCTTTTTATTCTTGTATACACTTTACTCTACCCTCTGATGGACTCTGCACGTCTTCCTCTTGAACAGTATTCTCAAATTCAGGGTTATTTGTCCTAAATAAAAAAAAAAGAGAAAGAAAGATCAACTCAAGTTATAAACAGAAGTTTTCAATATTCATTTCTCATCTAGCTTGGGCAGTTAATTTAACTCAAATAACCATGGTTGTATCATTTTTTCCCATTTCCACACCAACACCCTCTACCATTACATTTCACTTGAGTTTGTACATTCTTTGACATTTCCAGAGCCCATCTTTCACTTTTTCTGTTATTAACAAAGCTGAGGCAGGACTTCTAAGCAGCATATGGTAGTTTCTGGCCTTTCCCTACATCTAGGCAGTTCAGAAAGCTGCAAAATTTGAGAACAAAAATTTATCTTTCAAATTGGCACTCTTGATTCCCAAGGTATTGATGAACACTTTCTTGTGTTTTTCATGCCACCAATTTTCCACCAATGGCGTAGAGGCCCTTATAGGAATGGTGTGGCAACCTTGACAACCTCCACACACCTGTTTTCTTTATCTTCACAAACTTCATTGTCTTTGTCAGTATCCGATGTTCCTCCAGTTTCTCTTGCTTTCTTCTTCTCTTCTCTTTCCTTCAGAATAATCTACAGAGAACAATTTAATTAAACAATCCCCTTGAATCTTTCCTGTGTGAAATTCGACTGCACAATTACTTAATATTTAACAATGTTGAAAAAAATGATGAACATGTCCAGCACTGGATCTTTTAAATTCAGAGACTGCAAGGTCATTGCAGAATGCAGTAGTCACTAACTCCCTGAAAAGAAATCCTTCTGGAACTATTCATCCTTAACTCTTGACTGGTAGTCCTAGTTCCAAACCATATGCTATTAAATACAATAAAGATTTTGAATAAATTATTATCATTGGAATATTTTAAATCATTTGTGGGGAAATTTCATAATATTTCATGATCTTTTTCACAACTATTTACCTTAAACTTGTGGGCCCAGATGTTGGAAGGCAAATTAGTGCTTATCCAAGGTTAAATTTTCAATCTGGGTTTCTTTACTGCTTTATTCAAACCATTTTTGGGATAATTTTTGCTTTACTTTAGCATCCAATTGTCAATTGCAGACAAAAAACATTTATTGCCGGTTTTCACTATCACACCAACATCAAAACCATTCAACAAATAAAGTCAAGAATCAAAAAGAAAAAAACCAAGTTGAATGTTCAAACACTCTTACAGAGATTCAGGTCTATGGGATATTTCATTTGGAAGATATTCCAAGAAATGTTTTACTCCAATTTATAATGCTTTGTATGGAGACGCTGTGTTTTTGTCCCACCGATAGGCACAAATATGCCAGCCGCAATCTAAGAAAATCATATGTCATCGAGTTTTACTATAAGCAGGTAGTCGTCTTCTAGAAGCTCATACGCCTCTATGACTACTTATTCTCAAACAAGCTTAAGGACTGTTTAGATGTGAAATATCAGCAGATAAGTCACTTTTTTTTAACCTATGTACAGCATTCCCTACTGCCATTTTAATATCTTGTCACACAAAAGCTTAGAAATTTAAAGTCGCTTTTATTACATGTAAAAACCAAGAATACTGAATTTTCTTTCAAAGCTTTCAGATCTGGAGTAAGATTTTACAATAACCATGGGTTATCTTAACCCAGCTTTAACAACCGGGCCCTGACTGTTACTGGGTACTTCTAGAACTACACCTTCTCCCCCTCCCCCTCCCCCAACTATAGAATGCAATTCTGAAGTTGAATTAATGTTGGGACATTTCATCCTTTATTGAACCCTGTATATAAATATTTTCCTGGCAGACAGGAGTATCAGCACCCACCCTTTTTCCCTCTTTTCTTCACCCATGAAAAAAGTAATTAAAAGAAGGTCAACTTTCAAATTGAATGTCTAGATAGTTCCTTGCAATTATTAACAATTATTAATTATTATATGTATACCTTTTTCAGAGCACTTGGCTTCTTCCTTGCTGGAGTCTCTCGCTCTTTGCCACGTTTGATAACTGGTGCAGTGGAGTCTAACATGTTATGAGGGACCTGATGATATTCAAATAAAGAACTATACTGAGATAGAATAAATATATGAAAATCATATATTTTGAACTGCGGTATTTGATACGTATGATGGACGATCCTCGCAGTAGATAGCGCTATAGCGCTATCTACTGCGAGGATCGTCCATCATACGTAAAGAACTATACTAACACTGTAATTAAAAAATCATAATAATGACAACAATTAATCCAATTCTCAGTTGATTATAGAGCTAACCTGTGCCAAAGTATCACCAATCACAATTTCTGACTAATCAAAAAGTGTATAATGCAGCCCTTTTCATCAGCACTAAATTTCTGGTCTGGATGGTAAAATCCACACCATCACAGAGCATACATTGACTGTATCTAGCCACTGTCAAATGAACCCCACTGTCAGATTCAAGATAAATTCTTGGCTTCTAAGAGACTTAAAGATACTAAAAAATTATTGTTGGTACCTTATTCTGTTCTCTCTTAAGTAACCATGCATTCTTCACAGGAGATTTTGCCTCAGCAGTTGTGGACAGCTGACTTGGTAGCACACCGGTGGATATCACATGCTTTTTACCACTTTGCTTTCTTTCAGGAATCTTAAAAAGTGAAAAAAGTATTTCTACAACGAGTTCTGCTACATCCAAAAACTAAAAAGCATCAAATGGTAACCTAAGGTACCTACCATAATGAATCTGAGATGACTAAAAATCAAAGTCAAATTTATAGATCCAGAAAACATTGGAACCACAACATATGGGAGATGAAAACTATACAATGCAGTACAAAATCAATTGTCCATATGCTTTCCTATTTTCATGGGCATAGCATTAAGAACACAATGTTATCTTACTGAAATTGTTTTCAACATGCTACCAAGATCAACTTGAATAGGCTTTTCAGTTCGCTTGGAAGATGCATTCTGTTGTGCCTTCTCTCCAGTCTCTGAAGATTTCTTTTTCTTTTTCTTTTTCTTCTTCTTTTTCTGATTTTCACCATCTTCCACAGCATCCATTATAGCTTCTGACGAAACCTGCAACACACCACGACCCTCCTTGATAGACTGTCCACTGTCCTGTGATGGACTGACTGGAACTGGCTGTTAAGTAATACAAATACACAAAATTATTCCTTGACAACTTAATAAGTTAAATAACTGTATAACGGTTATAAAAATCGAACAGATCTGTATGCATGTACATGACTGCCTAGCATAGCTGCCAAAGCTTATCCAGGAGTCTGTGGTCATGTTATTCCTTTTAAATAGTATGCTTGTCAATCATAGGTTTCTTGTGAGCACTTTGTCACATTTCCTTAACAGTTTCATAGTATCCATTAGTTCTCCTGAGCCCAGTTGTTCAAAGGGCAACTTTTGATCGAGATCGACCATTGATAGAGATTTAACCAACTGATAGGGTTATCTACCCTTCCAACAACAACTACAGTAGACTCCCGATAACTCTAACCTTCAAGGGAAATAATTTGAAAAAGATTTGAGTTATCAGGAGTTTGAGTTATCGGGATTTGAGAAAAAATAACCGGAAATAACAGAAAAAAAGGTGTTAAATGTTTTTCTTTATATGCAGAGTACATTTTAATCAAATCTGATTACAGTATAGAAAAGCCGAGTGACAAAAAGAAGAATTTACATCTCTAAATTACTGTATAAATCAGAATGCAACATAATGTGAAAAATATAACAAGGGAATGCAGCGGGGAGAGGTCCAGTAACTGCTAACCGTAGAGGTTTTTTTTTCAAGTCTTTAGAGAACAATGTCGGGCTACTGGTACAAATAACCTAGTGCAATTTAAAAACGAGTTAGGAAGCAACACTTTGTGAAAACCAGCTGAACTTGAACTGAACTGACATGTATTGTGCAATGTAAAAGAAAGGAAACAGTTCACACGGCTGCTTCAAAATAAATTTAAGGTTTTGGACAACAGTGTTTTGACTTGTCAGGTGTTGACAGACATGGTTTGGGTTATTGAGGGTAAAATTATATACTAGAAAATGACCTGAAGGGAAATGAAAATTGGTTCGAGTTAGCTGGAGTTTCGAATTACTGAGGCTTCAAGTTGCCTAGGGTAAAATTACAGTGAATGTATGACGGAAATCCATGGGAAATCGATTTTGGTTCGAGTTAGAACGAGGTTCGAGTTAGCAAGGGTTCCAGTTATCGGGAGTCAACTGTACCTCAGCCTATAACATTACCCACTCTTTGAACAACTGGCCTGGTTGTTCAAAGGCTGGATAGCTCTATCCTCTGAATAAATTTCTAGTCCATGGATACTGCTGCATGTTTAATCAACACCTGTTTGCTGGATAGCAATAATTATTTATCCTTTGGATAGTGTTTCCCCCTCTTTAAACAACTGGGCCCTGGAGCCTGGGTTGTGCTGGGAACTGTGAATCAATGACCTTTTAAAAGCTCATTTCTCAAACCTGCAGTTTTCAATCCTTGGTGCAGTTTTTCAGCTGCCATTCTAACCATCAAGCAGTAGGACATAATTCAAAGAATACACACAAGAAGGAGCTGTATTATCCCATTATCATTCAAAATATAAATGCTAATTCTCCCAACTGATGAACAGACACTTTTTATCATTGGTTATCCCTGAGAATTTGGTGTTTTTTTAAGGCAATATTCAGCTGATAATATTCTATGTGTTCATAACCAGTCTTGTTACAATGTAACAAGAACTTTACAAGCTTAACACCCCTTCAGCCAGGGCTCCACACTAGCAGTAGCCAACCAGCTACGAACTTGTAGAAATTCAGTTTTGGCTAGTGGTTTTTGATTCTCACAAACCAGTTTGGCTAGTAAACAAACTGAAATTGTCATAACATCTATGTTGTCACTAGCCACTTTGCTAGTAAGTTGAAAAGTTAGTGTCAAGCCCTGTTCAGCATAAGGGAAATATTAGGAAGTTGATGCTATAACAACAAAAGGGACAAAAAAAATGGCTTTATTGTCGGCAAAAGCAATCACTGAGCATGATAAAAGTTACTCTGTGGATTCTCATATACAACAGTATCAAATTGCTTAAAGCAACCAGTAAACTTAAAGCCCCATTTCCAACCGAGATGCCTTCCGTGCCCGGATCATTTTTCATATATGAAAAATACGCTATTTTCCTCGTAGTTGCGGAACTGCTTTGATATCTTCTTCCATCTTACTAATTAGGGCTTTCAAAGTTCCATCTTGAATCATGGGCGAACAACAAACTATCTTAGTATCCATATCAGTAAATAGTTTTTAATTCTTACATGTATGACACTGAAAAACATCATTTGAGAAGTTGATGCCACCGAAGAAGCGGTCTAGAGGAAGGCCGAGTCTGCCCGGCTTGGCAAAGGTTATTCAACTTTAAGAGTCTGTGTATGATTTATGGAGGGCAAGGAAAACAACCATGGGTTTCGGTAACACTACAGACAGTGCTTTTGCAGAAATGTTATTGCATTGTTCCTACGATGGAACTAGAGACTC